TTATTATTATTAATATTATCATTATCATTACCATTATTAAATTATTAACATTATTTTTTATCATCATCATGATCATCATTATCATTACTATTGTTATTATCATCATTACCATTCTTATTATTTTAATCATCATCATCATTATTGATATCATGATTATCAGTTTCATCACATCATTATCAATATCATAATTATCACTTTTATCATCATTACGAATAATATAATCATCACTTTATCAATATCGTTATGAGACGCAAATCAACACTGATGATGGCTAATAAATGTGGGTAAAAATGCTTCAGAAAACTGAGACCAAGAAAGCTATAAAAAGCTAGGCATAAAGCGCGGTCGTCGGAGAGAAACCGTTCTTTTTAAGAGTAATACCGGAGACGAGAAAAAAAAAACAGAATTCTAAAAAATCACGTAGACAAAAAAAAAAAAAAAAAAAAAAATTCTCAAGTGTAAATTAACCGCCACCTTCTTCTCCCATCTCAAGTGTTGGAGCGGTTGGCGGCTTGGAGTTGCGTTCAAGAATATCTCGATTTTTGTTATTTACGTTCATCCTTTTTTTTTCCTGGTCGTGCTCAGTGCAGAGGTGGAGGAGGGGGGGGGCAAAGGGCGGTGGTGCGTGGGGGGGGGTGAGAGCATCCAACCGGAGAGGGAAATAATATAATATTTTTGAAGTTTATATTTAAATCGAATGAAGCATTGGTTGCAGGTTTAATATGTTTACATATTCAAAATATCTCTATTTTCCATAACATTTCTCAGTGCTTGAGTCATCGGGGCATATTAATTGAAGGAATTGGCCCCAGCACGCCTCTGCTCGTGCTTGTTTTTTATCCGCTTACTACTCATTTATCTGCGGCTTTAAGGGAAACTATTTGCATTCTGTCACCTGCATACATGGTCAGCTAAATATGGACGCTCTAAATAGTGAATATTCTTTCTCTCTGTGACCGTCGCTGATGGATCCTGAAGTGGGTGGCAACGCTGTCGGCGCCTGTCTTGGTTAGTGATTCCTAACTCTTCCTTTGTTAATGACTTTCTCGGCTGGATACATATCCGTTATTTATCCCCTTACTTCAGTGGGAGAAAATATAGGTGCCATAAAATGCATAGCAAATAAGCAAAGTCTTTATTATTCAAATTTCGTTTATGATGATATTTTGATGGACGAAATATATTTACTGACCTCTTGACTTAGAAAATAAATCGGGCACAAATACCAGAAACTTATCAGTGAAATCTCTATTGTTCCATCTGAAACAAGTAGTTTACTAAATTAGCGCAACTGTATGAATTAATAAATAAATTGATATTGAAATAAATTATGTGTAAAAAAGAGTAACTCCGTAAGCTGTTCGGGAAATTCCGTCGCATTACCACCCATATTGATGTGGATTTACCCCCGCAGTGTGGTATTCCCCCCCCCCCCGGGAATAGATATACCCCTTGACTTGGTTATCCTGACATCGCTTGCTTGGGCAGTTGCCTCGGCAACAAGCGTTATTTCCGCAGAATTTGCAGCTTAGGGATGCTTTTCAGTAGGCGGCGGCGATGATGCTGACTAGTCAAAATATTCAGACTTCCAATGTCAGATTCGGACGTTCTCCCTCAATGAACCGCAAGTTTGATTAGCTAATACACAAGATTTATCCCTGGGCCACGCGTATAATCATCCACCCTAATACATTTTCCAAAATGCGCATAGCATTCCATTCATTAGGAAATCGTCGACTGCTTCGTGTTATGAACTTATGCAAAGTTAATGTAGGATACCGTGCGTTTATCCTGTGGCGGTTAAAAACGGTTAAAAGCAAGGTTTGTCATGGCTGAAAGGCCTTAGGAAGGATGTGACCTTGATCCGAAAAAGCTAGAAAGCCCTTGCAGAGGCTCTTGAGAGGGAGCCGGGCCACTTTCAACTTTCCAAGGAGGCCTCCGAATTAGTTTAAATATTTATGCAAAACTATAGTGGGATTATATATATATTTAGAGCACTATACGTTTTATATCATAGTTTTCTTTTTTATTGAAGTATACTGTGGCTGAAAATATGTGTCTTATGTCAAAGTAATTAGTTAAGAATAATTTGCAAGAAAGAAACCCATCATACGTCAGTAGCATTTCTTGTGAAAAGGAAGCCATTATTTGACACGAACGCAATTTCCCGGGATTCATTAATGCATATCACTGTTCATATGAACTGTCAGTTATACGTTCTCTATAATTTTTCAACCCACACACTGGCCTAGGATGTCAAGCGACAAGTCAAATCCGAGTTGTTGGTTTACCTATCAATCTGAATAACTCTGATAAAATAAATTAATCAGTGAGATTAATATATTTACATCTACTTTAGTGTATCTCACGACCAATCATTACATTATTTGCAACTTATGACCTCAAAACATATCTGAGATTGTTTTTAAGCTCGTTGTCCACGCCATTAGATTCGAGGATGGCTCGGTCCGAAGGAAGTTCTCGGGCCTGCTTGGTCGCTTTTAATGGCATCGCATAGGTTGTTCCCAGGAAAGTCTTGGTAAGACGTTAGAGTTTAGATTTTGGACTTTAGATTTATGGATGAGGTCGCGTGACAAAGTCCATTAGGAGCTTTGTAGACTAAAGTCTCAAACAAATATTAGAAATAGCGCTAATGTTAAGGGCAATTAAAATAATTGACAACGCCCATGATAATGGAAATGGTAATAACAGAGACACTGACAGTGATAGAGATAATGAAATGGTTCTACCCATTCCAGTCGCTTTGTGGATAATCATAGATGAATAAGAATACTGTGAAAGCTTCCCAGGTCAATTTTCCCTTAGATCTTCCCTCTTCGAACTCGCCAGATTCCCTTTTGGATCCTACGAGCTGGGCCCGATTTGAGAAGCGGGAGAAATTGGAGGTGGAAACTATATTCGTAGTTTTATATTAGTGAGAGCCACAGTACAGAATTTCAATAACAGATAGTTTTGGCTTTACAGATTCTTCTTGAGATCTACACTTGGTTATCATATCCTTCCCCACGCCACCTTCCTCACTCATTCGTTCGGCTGGTCAGCATGATGATGATGAAGGTTTTTGATGTGATTTAAGTGTGCCATGAATGGTCACCATTGGCGCGGCAGATCATTTCGTATAATAATACATTCATAAGCAAAAAAAAAATCGATTGCTATGTTTTGCAGTGAATAAATGTTTCCTGTTCATCTATCATTACATTACTTGCAACTGTTGAAAATGCTGGCTGATACAGTAATTACATTTGTTTATACTTTTTCAGTCAGTTGTTTTAGGTAGTACTCGTTTTTGTTTCTAACCTCAGAACTTTTTAACTCTGGAATTTTAATTTTCTATATAGGTAAACAAATAAATAATCCTGCAAAATATGTAACATCAATATACGTATCAATCAATACGGCTGACGCGGACGGGGTCGCACAGTCGCATCAACCCTTTGATTCCAGCCATTTAAGGCGAGCTGCCCAAACTACGACTTCCTGTTTCACTGCCATTAATCAAAACTGGCAGTATCAAGACGTTGAAGACAAGTAACTCCATTCTTCTGCATAGATATCGGCATCTCCAAATGCTCTGGGTGACCGAGTTCATGGCTTCTGCTGCCAGACCAATGCGTCTACTGGTCTGACAACCTAGAGAACATGGACTGCACTGCCAAGGCATGTAAAGTTCTCCGTGACTTCAGCATCCTCGCCGCAAGGATGTATCGACAGAACAGGTTCCCGCTAATAGGCCCCCGAAACCCTAGATCTTGGTCTTGGTCCAGGAGACCTGTAAGCCCTGGGGCTTCGCCTCATTGCCGAATGTATCAAGAGTCGCAACTAGAGATTCCAGAAATTCAGATAGAATTGCAACATCGGCAAAACCAAGATCCCTGACTTTGATATTGTCCACTTTTGCTCCAGGATGACTGGATTGTAGCACTGCTCATTAACCAGTCCATGCACTATACGTAGACGAAGAACAAATAGCCAAAAAAGACATCTTAAGTCATTAAAACCCACTGCCACCTATACACGAGTTAAACAACTGGCCTTTTCACCTCCAAGAATATAATTAATGCCCGATATCCGGTACCAACTAATAAAGGAGAGTTTGAGGCAATGTCTAAAGGTCACTTCGCTTCAGCTAAGGCATAGAAGGGCAGAGGTGTAGTGGGCAAGATAATGGCCAGGGCTAAACATAGTAGCCTTATATGGCCTTGTATTGGGTACAGATAACATGGGATGCATGAAGGTCGCTCACCAATGCCGCACTCACCATGTTGGCACTCCCTGAGAACACACCTGTCAATATCACATTTACAAAGGCACTCACCTATGTTGCAGTCATCAAGGACGCACCCACCAGTGTCACATTCACCGATGTTGCACTCTCAAAAGACACACTCACCAGAGTAGCACTCACCATGATGAACTAATCAAGGACACACTCAGGATCACTCAGTTGTCCTTTCATATATTCAAGAACAGAGAAATACACGTACTTTTGGACTCAAACAGATACTTTTTCTAGCTCTCCAAAGTATGTCATACACATTATGTAGTTGCCTTATCCGTGTTGTAAGTCATGATACAACATATTTCTGATTTTAGAGAAAATATGAAATTTTTGATTCCAAAGTAACAGGCAACAGCATCATTATTAGTATTATTGTTTGTCAATGAAAGTAAATATAACCTAATATGTTTTTCTCATGAAAAAAATAGAAATCAAGCTATTGTTTCCAAAGTCATATAATAACTCTCATCTGCAGACAATTATTTTTTCATTTCATGTCCAAACTGATGAAGAAAATCATTTCTTCATTTTCTCTTAGCACTGATGAAGGACTGTGACTGAAAACCAATAATTAAAAACGTCCAACCTTTAATCAACAGTAAAAAAGTTACACCATATACATTCATAAATACTATACTGTACATTATATTACTATATATTCATAGTTTTGCATAGTGTACACTTTACAACTGTGATAGAAGCAGTCAATAAAACCATACATTTTGAATGCCGAGACAGTAATCAATTAAAATAAAAAATAATTTATCATTAACAAAAAGAATATTTACAGGTTAAATTGACTGATCATATCATATAGATCACATTTGTGACACTTGAATGCACACGATAAAACCTTGCTCAAACTCCGAAAATTGCAGTTATTAAAAATATACAATTGGTGATAACTCATCGGAAAAGGGAAAATAAAGGAAAGGAATTGTACTTTAATTATTGGCAGACACAATCTTCCAAATATGGGCTAAAAATACACTTATAAAGGAAAAAAAGAGAGATGAGAGAAAAAGAGCAAGGGAGAAAGAGAGAGAACATGGATGAGGGCATTAAAAGACCATAAAAGAAATTTATCAATGATGCATGCTTTAAAAAGAAAGAAAGAGAAGAGATTAAAATCATTCACTTTTTTAAAATATGATAAATAATGTGGAAAAAAATCCAATTTCACTCCCATTTTGAGCCACACCATGCAAAAAAATGCCTCTATAAAAATTCAAGAAATACTTGTGTCTTTTTATTTCTTCAAATAAATTTCACATCCACCTTCTATCATTTCATATCTGGAACCACAACTAACAAAATACTGTTATTTCCCTTGGACACTTTTCTGCATTTGAGGATAGATATATACTGTATAAAGCCTAAAATAAGGAAACACAAAACAGGAAAAAGAATACGCCACAACTAAAAATCCAAAATACATTTGTACTATAACACTGAACACAAAACTTAAGTAATAACATTTGAAAATATTCAATGGTAACAAAAGAGTACAGGGGTTTCACATACCCTGTGACAGATATTGTCGACAAGTAATGTAAAACCAACCCTTGATTAAAAAACAAAAAATTAAATCATAATATTTTAAAATAATAACAAAAAATAACAATTAAACTGGTATCATAATAATTTTGTTCTCATTATTCATTTGATAATTACAATTAATATTACATCAGAATATATTGCAGGACCATGCTAAAATAGCTGCATGTAGTATGTTTGTCAAAGATTCAATGACCTCATAAGAATGTTGCCTTTTCAGTGACAACATTTAAGGTATTGTTTCATTCATTATTGTACACTTTTATTACCATACATATTCACTTTGTTATCAATCTCTAAAACATTATCTTCAAAAATGAGGCTTCACACAGTAGAAAGATAAATACAAATATTTACATAAGATACAATCAACAAATAGGAAACTACAAATTAAAAGTCAAAATGAGATCACAAAACAGTAAACCTAAAAATCTTTACCCTTTTACCTTATTGATCAGAGTATCTAACAGTATGATTTCGTAATCAGGACAATCCACAATTTTTTTCCATTTTTTAAATTAAACTCTCAACAGACAACAAAATCTAACTTACCGGGCTTCCATCTCTGCTTATACTAAAATAAACCTATTACAGATATGACAGACAGTTCTTAATCGTACACTGCCCCATAAACAAAACAAAAAAGTAAATGAGACTAAAACACTTCAAAAGAGTTATTGAAAAAACAAAGAAAAGTAAATTGTAACACCCAGTTTTTTTAACCTATTTTCCAATACATCATTTCTTTTTTCAACCATCAGTGAGTATTTGTGTTTATCTGGTATACACATGTATATCTGTGTTTATTCATTCATAAGACTTCACAATAGTATGTGTTCCCAATTCAATACAGGCTTTCCATCAGAATGACTCCTCCCCCCATTAAAAAGAAGACAAATACCAAATACAATGGATCAACTTTGCATCACCAAACAATAATCACACAGGACTTGTACTTCCTGCTTCGACAACATTTTGAACTACTTTCTGAAGCTGAGAAGCAAGCATATGTTCCTGTCTGGCTCCTTCTCGCTTGTATGTAACAGGACAATCCAAGGATATGCACTCAATATCAGCGACGTGACAACCCAAACAACCTTCACAGACCTGTTGGCATAAAAAATAAATAAAGAAATAGAAATATATAATTACCACTGGTCTGAGACAATGAAACTACATACTTACAATGGCAATTACAAAGAAGAATACAAATTACTTTGATTTAACATTAAGAAAATATAACAATATAATGCCTAAAAATAACCGTCTTCCTTTCTTCTCTAGCTGAGGAATGATTAGGGGCCTGACCCACTAGATATTTTTTTAAATATACATTTAAAATGAAGAAACTATAAAAACACAAACCTTTCCTAGATGTTCCAGTGCCCTTTCATAGGACCGAATTTTTTCATTGAGACACAAAACAGTAGTCTGTGGTTTAGTCTTACAATCTGGACAGAGCCCAGGTCCCTGAGATGTTGGAGCTGTCATGGTGGTTGCCCCACAAGCAACACAGGACACAGGTGTGAAGTATCGTGCAATTGACATTCCACGTGAATTATGTGAGGCAACAGATTTCACAAGGGTTCCATGACTGGCTTCCGCTACTATTGCTTTATTTTGCTGGGCTGCTGGTCTTGGTAAATCATTGTACCTGTAGAGAAAAAAATAAATCCCAAATATCAGCAACAGAAATTAAATAGATATACTTCCAACACAAACTAAATTATATTAAGATAACTAATAACTTATACTTTTTTAAGATAAAAGAATAAAACCTACACTAGACAGCTAAATAGTTCTCTAAAACTTACCACAAATTAACATCTACTCCTAATAGAGAGAAGCACCTCTCCAAAGGGGGAATGATAGCTCGGGTGATGTAATAGATGGAGTTGATACGAAGGGCAGGATCTAATAGGACATTTTTTGGAGATCGTACCAGCTGAATGAGAGGTAATCCAGGAGCACCATACACAATCACATATGGAACACGTTCTCCTGTCCTGGGTTCTTTCCTGCGATCTTTTCTTGTCCATTGTCTGCAGATACAAGTACAAATATTCATAAATCTTGACAAGCGACTTGCATTTTCTTGTGAAAAGTTTGAGTAAAATTTTCTTTATATAACTTTTTTTTTCTCGGGTCAATACAATAAAAAAAAAAATATGAGTGCACTGAGGAATTTCCATAATCTTGATATTCTTAATGCATTTCACAATTTCAGTATCAAACCCTTAAATTATCAATAAAACATTCCCTATGTTTGAACTCGTTGCAACCCAAATGCCTCACACACACACACACACACACCTTGCCAGCTCTAAGGCCGGGACAGTTGCTCCTGGCTTGTATCCCTTGATTCCTCTGTATTCCTTGGCAAATATGTAATCTTGGATGGATACTTTTCCCTGGAGAATCTTAACAAACTGCCTCTGTACAAAGTCTTTCACTTGTGAGACGTCCTTTGTTTCAAAGAGCAGCCGCAAGGATTTCTCTAAGATCTGGAAAGGTTTAACCTTAATGGTAAAACTTACTGATGCTAATCCTGAATACTGGCAAAGTATTATCACATCGTTCAAGTTAAACTCAATATGACACTAAAAAGGCAAATATTAAATAAAAGATACTCTCATATTAATTTTCAAAAGTGATATAAGAATATCAGTAAGATCTACATACAGACATTATTAAAAAAAGGAAATAATATTACTTTACTGACTGCTGCAAGCCTAACAAAATCGATCCTAGACTTACAAACCAACCTGAAAACCTCAATGGCAATATAACATCTACAAAGTCTCAAGATAAAGAACTCCTATCCTTACTTTGGCAATGGCAGGACAACCATCCCTCCGCACAGTTTCAATGCCTTTTGCGTCATACTCAGGATCGCGTTGGTCTCGAGTCTCATACATGTAGCCAACATATCGCTTTTTTGTCTGTTGGAAAGACAAAAGATTAAAATTTCTGTTATAGGGATATTATATGAGGAGGAGGAGGAGGAGGAGGAGGAGGAGGAGGAGGAGGAGGAGGAGGAGGAGGAGGAGAGGAGGAGGAGGAGGAGGAGCAGGAGCAGGAGGAGGAGAGGAGGAGGAGGAGGAGGAGAGAAGAGAAGATAGCAGAAAGAACAAATATAATGATATAAAAAGAAAAAGAAATTAGACAAAAAAAAAAAATCTTACCTGCAGAATACAAGGTAGATACACCTTTTCAAACTTCAGCTTGACTGGCTTAGGGTACATCTGGGTAACCTGTTCAGCAATCTCGCTGCCTATGACAAAGGCCTGGTCCTTTGTACGGCCAGGCAGGTGGACAAAGAGGGAATCTGTGTCTCCATACACAACACGGGCCTTCCATGCTTTGTTCGAATGGATGAACTGAATGCAGCGCTCTAGGGTCTCACGACCTTTGCTCACAACACTGTCACCCACCTGAAAGTAGCACAGGAATTTGTTGAAAATGCTGTCATCTTATAAGTTCTGCTAATCATCAGACTTCAGTTAATCTTTTCACTGCATCATCTATCCGTCATTATCTCCATCCAAAAATGACTGATATGATATTATATAAAACTCATACAAATATCAATACCAATATCATAACAAAAGCAAAGGTAATAATGAATGAAACAACAAAATCATTGTATCATTTACATTGAAATACACTACACTTAAAAGCATTCACAAATTACCATTCTCTGTTGCCTTTATACCAGTAAGCAAAGAAGCACTAAGTTAGACCGTCAAAATGCCTTAAACCCAACTCACCTCAGAGCAAGGCATGCGGCCTGAGAAGTTTGCACTGGTGTAGCCATAGGTGACATTGGCAATGAGCTTCAACCCCAACTGGCGAGAGTGGAGAACACGTTGAAGCGATGTGTCGTTTTTGTACACTTTCATCATCCTCTTTACCTGGACAAAAGATGTAAAAAAGATTATACTATAAAATTATTAAAAATAGTATCTGATGATAGAACAAAAAATAGAAGCAAACATCAAAATTAAGCAAAGAACTGACATACTGAAAATTGCACATCTTTTATTCTTCCTCTTCAGTGTGCCCGTGCTTACATATTCAATTCAAAAATGCATTTCATCAGCACTCACCATTATCCTTGTATTCAAAATCTCTTCCAGCATCATAGGAAGAACACCCCTCCTGACACTTGCAGGCACAAAAGCAATACCACAGGGTGAAATGTTGACCTGTAATGATAGAAAGTAAACTATATCATTAGCTTCTGAAAGTTAAAAAAAAAACAATAAGTGCAATCTATCTATTTATATTATTATCTATATATACACATTTATATAATCAATGACAGTTTATTTCTGTAATACATGATCTACATAAAACATCACTTAATTTTCAATTAAGAAAACAAAACCAATGAAAAAAAAGTTATTACCTTATCCACAAACTTGGAGAGCTCCTGTGGACTAACCCTGAGGTGGGATGTTCCAAATTCAATAGGCTGCGGACCATCTAGGTTGTTGATCCGTCCAATACATGTTGAGTAGCAGTAGTTGTACGCAATCATCATGGAAGGATAGAGACTTTGGAAGTCTAGCACCACAACTGGATCTGTGTAGAATCTGCATAAAGTTGTATTTGTAATGTGAATCACAGAGACATGTTAAAATCATTTTTCTGTACGTAAATGGTATTGGTGGAAGACATGATCCTATGCAGTTTTTGGGAATTCTCGTTCAATCAATAACTACTCAAAATTCCAATTTATGAGGGTGGGGGGTTCAGCAGAAGAGACAACAACTAAAGAAACAAAAGGAAAAAAGCAAAGCAAAGACAAATTTTTAAAACCTGACTCATTCACTTTGGTCTTTATCACATAACAGCATATATTTCTCAGCCCTTAATTACCTTGATTCTGGTTCCAAGGTCAGAGCAATCCACTCAGGGGCTTTCATGGCAGCCCTCTGCTGGATGCTGGGAGAGACTGCCACCATGTTGGCACGTCTCGTTAAACGCAGCATCATTGATTCCACACGATACTGTAATCAGAGCAGCATTAGCTATGGGAGCATTACAGTTACTGAAAATCTGACCAGAGTAATGGTATGAATTCATTCAGCTGATTATACAATTTATCATTTACATGCATATATGAAAATACATTTACATACTTCCCATATACATACTTTTTTAATAATTTTGACAAAAACAAAATAAGGGAACTAACCTGTGATCCACGAGCCAATACATCATAGAACTGAATTCCAAACAATCTTGCCAGTTCTGCTGTTCGGTGAATAAGATCTAACCGGTGTAGCAGTTCTATTGTGAGACTACAGCGATTCAGATAGTGCTCCAGGGTGCGCCATCTACAAAAATTTAAAAATAAAATAAGACTAATAAATAAAGAAACAAAAATAAATGAGAAAAAAAGGCTGCGTCTCTATACGCAATGTCTAAATGTAATCATATCTATCAATCTATGCATTTATATTTATAACATTTAGTGATTTATCTGTACACATGGTATGCAAGGATTTCTTGTGCATCTGATGGTTGAAGGGACGGGTACAGACAGAGTTGGGGTGGAGTGAAGGAGTGGAAGGTTAGTGAGGAAAGCATGAACTAAATCCATACATATTAACGTAATCTGTCTGTTTTATCCTACACTGATAGATTACACTCCTCACTCTTTAGACAATACTCATGTATAACTACATACACAGATATCTTGAATAATGAGTGTGTAACAGACTAATCCTACCTACTGTGCAAATAGTATTTCTGGTCTTAAAGAAATTAATCTTTTGCTTTATCATTTTCCCACATCAAAATCAAATAAAGCCTACAAATACTTGCATAGCAAAAAGTTTAATCTATAATGTTAGGGGCTAATGGCATATCACTAACACAAAAGAGGTAAAAAAAAAAATTAATACATCCATAAAAAATGAATCATAAATAGCAGGTATAGACTACCTCACCTTGTTGTATCCTCTGACCACCACCTCCTCAGAGAGTCATGAGGAAACGAGGGAATTCTGGTGTGAAGAACATGGTATGCCACGTTGTCTAGAGTGTAGCTCTGAAGCGCCACCTGGGAAAGAACATTAAGCGATAAAATGATAAAGAGAAGTTATAAATACGCATGCAAAAAAAGAAATGACAAATACAATAGAAGCAAAAGAAATATCAAAATACTATCAATATAACAAACAGCATAAAATGTGGTTAAAAGGGAATTTTCCAAAGAGACCCTAAATAACAAAACAAAACAAAATTGAACCAAATAAAGTTTTAAAATACACACACACAAAAAAAATCTAATCTAAAACCACACATAAAAGGCAATTATAGATACATAAAGAAAATATTTAATAAAAAATTATTAATGAATCATTTTTTTGAAAAATTACTTGCTTCATAACTCACCTCTGCCCTCATTAATCTCCACACGTTAAGGACAATCCTGCCAGTGACATGGATCTGTGACGTGTGGTCAGCACCATACTCGTCTAGGTCTTCAGCATAGTGACTGGAGCTACCCTCAGGAACGCGAGAGAGCTGCGAGATGATTTCCAACTTCAAAGCTGTTCCTCGCTCGAGCAAGTAACCCCAAGATGACATCTGTACCTGTGTGAGAGCAAGCTTTGTTTTAAAAGGACAATATCACTCTGTATGACAAATTGGCATGTACACTAATATAAAAAAGGAGAAAGAACTAGTCCCAATAAAAAATAAAAAATAAAACTTTTTAATGTGTTTTGGAGCAAATACCTTACATCTCCTCCAATCATTCAACAGTACAATCATAATGTCATACAGCAAACACCATAAAAAATAACAAATAAACAAATAATGAGAAAATAGTAATAATAATTACCTCATATCCAACTAACATATCTGGATCCCACGTGGTAACCAACTTGATGACTTCTTTAAATATTTCAATCTCACTATCAACATGAAGTACAGAGAGGTCAGTGATGCCACACCGTGTGATCAGGTCACAGCCTCCACTGCTTACTACCAGAGCACCTGTAATGATGGAGATTATTCATAATTACACTAAAGTAGGTAAGAACTACATATATGTCTTAGATATGAAATAAAATAAGAAGTACACAAAACCACATATATAAATACATACATATGAACTGACAAATAGATAAATATAAAGGAAGTCATAGCCCAATTAATGCTTCAACAAATGTATTATTCTCTAATGAAAAAGGCACCACCCACCTTTCAATTTCTGCGGAGTTGGGTGGTCGTCCGGAACATCCTGGATGATGGTGAACAAGACAGCTGAAATAGGGTCAAGCTGTGGGTCAGGTAGCAGTCCGGGCCTTGTGGTGACGTGGCACTCTAGGCACATTACTGTGAGGAACTCGTGCTGAAATCATGAAACGCACTCTTTATTCTTTTCCTTCTATCTGGGATTATGTGCATACTGCTTGCCTACATTTTTGTCTCTCTATTTATGCATCTATTATTTCTCAAACTGTCTACCTGCTAATGTGTATACAAAGACACAAAAGCACACATATAAAAATTTACAAAACTAAATATATATACACGTACACCCATATCCACAAAGATCACACAATACAGACACATATCTCCTTTCTAATACAAATGCTCATTCAAAAAACAAAAACCATCGCATTTCCTCCCTAATCACAAACTCAGTATATGTAGACATATACATATAGACACACATACACATATAAACACTTTTACACATATACATACATTTTTTTTTTTTTTTTTTTTTTTTCTCTTTTCTCTCTTTTCTTTCCTTTTCCTTTTCTTTCACTCTCTCTCACTCACTCACTCACTCACTCACTCACTCACTCACTCACTCACTCACTCACTCACTCACTCACTCACTCACTCACTCACTCACACGCACACACACACACAAAAAGGGGGGAATGCACAGGCACATGCACCCCTAATGTACACCCTCATGCACAGATATAGACACGTACATGTTCACCCATATGCACACAAATATGCAAAAGTGCACTCAAGTACAACTATGTACACAGAAACACTCACAACTTCATGCAAGCACACTATGAATTAAAAAAAAAAAATCAATTGAACCTAATAACATGAAAGAAAAACATAAAAAAGCTTATGAAAATTGATATGATACCAATAATGTTGAAAACACCTTTGAATCACTATCATTACCTTTTCAAAAAAAAAAAAAAAAAAAAATAATAAATAATAATAATAATAATGATAATAATAACAATAATAATAATAATAAGATACTTAATAATAATGATTGATAATGATAATGGTGATGATGGATGAATGATGATGATGATAATAACAATAACAATAACAATAACAATAACAATAACAATAACAATAATAATAATAATAATAATAATAATAATAATAATAATAATAATAATAATAATAATAATAATAATAATAATAACTAATGCAATAACAAACAACCATTTCATTAAAATCCAACAATAAAATGGTGCTAAAAATGATAATAAATATGAGCACCTTAAGAACATTCATTGCAAGAACACCACATCAACACAAAACATTTAAATGGGAAGTTGACAACATCATAAGCAAGACGACATTTCTTTGACAAACTGAACACTGCTCAAGATATCTGGGGACAAGGAGGAGGAGGAGGTGGAGGAGGTGGAGAAGGTTTAAGAGGTGGAGGTGGAGGTGGAGGTGGAGGAGATGGAGGTGAGGTGGAGAGGAGGAGGAGGAGGAGGTGAAGGAGGAGGAGGTGGAGGAGGAGGTGAAGGAAGGGGAGGAAGAGGAGGAGGTGAAGGGGGGGGGGGAGGAGAAGGAGAAGGAGAAGAAGGGAGAAGGAGGAGGAGGAGGAGGGGGAGGAGGAGGAGGAGGAGGAGGAGGAGGAGGAGGAGGAGGAGGAGGAGGAGGAGGAGGAGGAGGAGGAGGAGGAGGAGCAGAGGAGGAAGAGGAGGAGGAGATGGAGGAGGAGGAGGAGGAGATGGAGGAGGAAGAGGAGGAGGAGAGGGTGGTGGAGGAGAAAGAGGGGGAGGGGAGGAGTTGCAGGAGGAGGAGGTAGAGGAGGAGGAGCAGGTGAAGGAAGAGGAGGAGGAGGAGGTGAAGGGGGAGGGGGGGGAGGAGGTAAAAGAGCAGATGGAAGTGGAGGAAGAGGAGGAGGGGAAGGGGGGAAGGGGAAGGGGAAAGAGGAGGAGGAGGAGGAGGAGGAGGAGGAGGAGGAGGAGGAGGAGGAGGGAGGAGGAGGAGGTGAAGGAGGAGGAAGGAGGAGGAGGAAGAGGAGGCAGAGGAGGAAGAGGAGGAAGAGGAGGAGGAGATGGAGGAGGAGGAGGAGGAAGAGGAGGTGGTGGAGGAGGAGAAGGAGGGGGAGGGGAGGAGTTGCAGGAGGAGGAGGTAGAGGAGGAGGCAGGTGAAGGAGGAGCAGGTGAAGGGAGGAGGAGGAGGAGGAGGTGAAGGGGGAGGGGGGGAGGAGGAGGTAAAAGAGCAGATGGAAGTGGAGGAAGAGGAGGAGGGGAAGGGGGAAGGGGGAAGGGGGAAAGAGGAGGAGGAGGAGGAGGAGGAGGAGGAGGAGGAGGAGGAGGAGGAGGAGGGGAGGAGGAGGAGGAGGGGAGGAGGAGGAGGAGGGGGAGAGGAGGAGGAGGGGGAGGGAGGAGGAGGGGAGGAGGAGGAGGAGGTGAAGGAGGAGGAGGAAAGAGGAGGGCAGAGGGGGAAGATGTGGTGGAGAAAGAGGAGGAAGAGGAGGAGGAGGAGGAGGAGGAGGAGGAGGAGGAGGAGGAGGAGGAGGAGGAGGAGGAGGAGGAGGAGGAGGAGGGAGGAGGTGAAGGAGGGGGAGGCAATGGAAGAGGAGGGGAGGTGAGGGGGAGGAGGAGGGGAGGGAAAGGGGGGAGGAGGAGGTGGAGAAGGTGGGAGGGAAGGAGGGAGGAGGAGGAGGAGGAGGAGGAGGAGGAGGAGGAGGAGGAGGGAGGAGGAGGAGGGGGAGGAGGGGGAGGGGGAGGAGGGGAGGGAGGGGGAGGAGGGGGAGGGGAGGGGAGGGGGAGGAGGAGGGGGAGAAGGAGGAGAAAAAAAAATAGTATTAAGCAACCCACAAATGTGTGATCTAATGCCATTATAAATAAGGGTGTGATTGCCATAACTCCATAAAGGAGCTTCTTGTTTGTATGGATTAATGGATAGATGGATGGATGGATGGATGGATGGATGGATGGATGGATGGATGGATGGATGGATGGATGGATGGATGGATGATGGATGGGATGGGTGGATGATGGATGGATGGGTGGGTGGATGGGTGGATGGATGGATGGTGGATATATGGGTGAATGATAGATGGGTGGAAGGATAGATGGGTGGATGGATGAATGGTGGATATAAGGGTGGAATGATAAATGAGTGGAAGGATAGATGAGAAAGAAAGATGGGTGGAAGGATAGATGGGTGGAAGGATGGATGGATGGATGGATGGATGGATGGATGGATGGATGGATGGATGGATGGATGGATGGATGGATGGACGGACGGACGGACGGACGGATGGATGAATGGTGGATATAAGGGTGGAATGATAAATGAGTGGAAGGATAGATGAGAAAGAAAGATGGGTGGAAGGATAGATGGGTGGAAGGATGGATGGACTGAGTGACTGCCTGATAAAGTGATGGATGTGAAATGTTATTGCATAAATCTATTTGTTGGGTAGGGTGGGATGGGGTGGAACAGGGTGGAGTGTTGACATCTGAGGATGTGTGATGTGGTGTAGTGTAATGCAGAGCAACATAGCATGATGCTGAGAGAACCTAATGTGATTTGGTATACAAGTTTGTGCAAATATGAGGCACTGACCATTTCCTTCTCCTCATAGCAAAATAAAAGAGCAAAAAGCCAAATACTTTAAAATGGGCTCTTTCGCATTCATTACCAGTCAAAGGTTATATAGCAGGAACAGGAATCCAAGTGCGGTACAGTCACAAGTTTTTGGATAGTCAATGTACTCTAGTCATGTAGAAAAACAACTAGAAAGAGCAAGAATATTACAAGGACACATGTTAATATGAAAAAGACAGAGGAAATATACATTTCAGTTCTTAACAAAATACTAGTCATGTGTCAAGATTTGTTTATGTCCTCAAACGAAAGTAAATTGGCATGATGTCCGAAGTGTGCAAAAGAAAATTACAAGTCTTGAGGTATAACACTAACTACTCAAAACAAAAATTAAAAACAAAAAGGCATGAGGGTGCTAAGAAATATCATAGATTAGTTAATCTTTAGACATCCATTAATAACCCATGTGTGTGTCACACACACACACACATGCACACACACGTGCACACACACGTGCACACACATGCCCACACACACACGTGCACACACATGCCCACACACACACGTGCACACACACGCCCACAAACACACGTGCACACACACGCCCACACACACGCACACACACACGCACATACACACGCACGCACGCACGCACACACACACCACACACACACCCACACACACGCACGCCCACACACACGCACGCCCACACATACGCACACACGTGTACACACACACGTACCCACGCACACACGTGTACACACATACGCACACACGTGCGCACATGCACACACATGCGTACACACATATGCACACACGTGGGCACATGCACACAGGCGTACATACATACGCACACATATGCACACACACACATGCACACAACACACACACGCATTATATATGCATGTATATGCATATACATGCATATACAGGCATATATCATATATATGCATACATTACATATATGGATATATTACATATATGCATATATTAGATATAAGCATATACATAAAAGAGAAAAGGGAAAGAAAGGAGAAAGGAGAAGAGAGCAGAGAGGAGTGAAAGGAGCAAAGAGGAGATAAGAGACTAAGTGAAGAGAGAAAAAAGAAAGAAGAGATGACAGAAGTGAGAAGAGAGGTGAAGAGGATATGTAAGCGAGAAGTCAGAAGAGAACCAAAGAAAAAAAATAGGAGAAGAGAGAAAACAAAAAAAGAGAAAAGAAAAGAAAAAAAGGAAAAAAGAGAAAAGAAAAAAAAAAGAAAAAAAGAAAAGAGTAAAGAGAGAAGGGAGAAGACAGAAGAGAAGAAAGGTGATTGTTTGTTTGTGTGTGTGTGAGCATTACTTTGCATACATGATTGTGTCTTGGTGTGTGCTTGTGAGCTAAGGTTTTGTATGGATGTATGTATGTATAGGCTTGTGTGTGCATGGATGTGTGTGTATGGGTTTACATGTGCATAGATGAAAACGTATATGGGTTTGCGTGCCCATGGGTGTTTCTGTACATGGATTTTTTCTAGCTTTTTCATTTTAGCAATGAATAAATAAGTAAACAAAATTAGT